GACAACCATCCCAGCTGTGTTGGAAGAGGATTGTTTCTCAGAGAGTAGGAGTTAAGCCCACGAGAGTTAGGGAAAAAAAGAGAAATAATCCTTGAAGAAATCTCCCCTCTTCTCTCCAGTTCCCTCCTCCTGTATCAAGATTCCCCAAAGCTTTGGGGATCTATAGGCCTAGGCTGAACTTCCTACCTCGCTAAATGACAAGGCCAGGATGTTAATGTTCCCCATGCAGACACGTCTGTGTTATACATAAAGATGTCTGTGTTACACATAAACACGTTATGGCTGTAACAATATCACTTTCAAAGGAGCACTAATCCAATGAAGTCATTGAGTCAGAAAACATTTGTTTCTCCGTGTCTTGTGTCTGAGCTGTGTGTGAGAGAGAAGAGTGAGAAGGAGGGGCAGGGGAAGGATGGAGGGAAGGAAGAAGAGAGAGAGAGAGGACAATTTATAAAACCCTACTTTGCAGAGACAGCTTTTCAAACTATGCCTCTGGTTTCTTATTTGTTTGCTATGGTTTCACTTCCTTATACTTTTTCTGTTTGAAAAGTTGATGATAATCTCTTCTCTACAAAGAGGCAGATATACAGGTGACCCAAGTCAATATGTTGGGTAGGAAATTGTGGGGTTTGAATGGATGTCACAGGGTGACAGATAGAGAAGAAAACAGTGGCAGTTCTTAAAGTTCAGAAATAGCCAACTCCATGCTCTCCTAAAACCCTAGATCACCTATATCATAGCTCGTGTCTGCCTAGATCATATTGGCCTGTTTCTATCTGTCTTCCTTGGTAGGTGGTCCTATCCCCAGCACCTTGCACAGAGTCTTGCAAATAGTAGGCTCTTAATAAAAGTTTGTTAACTGAATGAGTGAAAGAATGAACAAAGGAATAAATGGATCTATCATTCAAGCGTCAATCTTATCTAAAACATTAATGCAATTAGAATTTCATCTCAAAAATGGACCTATCATTCAAGTGTCAGTCTTATCTAAAACATTAATGCAATTAGAATTTCATCTCAAAAATGGACTTGTAAAATTTTCCATCTTATTTACACTATATTTATTAAATGCCTATCATGGGCTAAAATAAAAGATGTCTAAACAAAGCCAGATTTTACACATACACACACACACACACGCACACACATACCGTCCCAGCCCTTATGACGTTTACAGTCTGGGGAGAAAGGGAAGGTAGGGATCAGGTATAAAAACATAAAATTAAAAATCACTAATTGTAATAAGTGCTCCCCAGGATATGATCAGGGCTGATGATAGAGAACAAAGCAAGGGCTGTGCCAATTTCGCCAATCCAATTTTTCTCTTCTCTGAGCAACTGACATTGAAGTCAAAGCCTGGAGGTTTGGGAGTCAATTCTTAAATAAACAAATTGGGGGTGAGAGGGCCCAGGAGAGAGGAAAAGCCTTCCACACACCCAGGAGCAGTGCCTGCTGCTTCTGTGACTTATCACCCAAATGTGTAATGTAATTTGAATTTGACTTGATTCATTTGGGTTTTAGGGTCCATGCTAATTTGCATGCCTGACTAGGTGTCAATGTCTGTTGGAACCCACGTGCTCAGAGTATAAAGAGGGTGATTTCCCTTATTAGAAGGGCAATGTGATTATAAGGGGATGTTCTGGGAGTGGGCTGAGGGGTGGCTGGCAGGAGGCTGGTAAATTTCGCTCGCTTGTCTTCAAGGTTGTCTCATCCCTCTTCACACTAGCTTCTGCATTTCAGATCTGCTCACTATTCAATTTCTGCTTTCAATATATATATTTTTTGTTGACAGTAATTACATGAGATTCACAAGAGCATTCTTACTTTTCACTTTATTTATACTCCTTGTCCCTTTTGAATATTTTAATATATGAGTTTTTATACCTTACCTTATAAAACTAGTAAATACAATTGTGAACTAGATGTATAGTTCTATTTAACAAGACGACCCTATGACCGTTGTTGGGAATTAGTTTTCTTTCTTCCCAATTATTAATGCAATATAATTTCAGTGCAATTAGATTTAGAAAACTCAAGAAAAAATAAAAAGGAAATAAAATTCTCTATAACTTAATCATCCGGAGATTACCATTGATAACATCTTGTTATATTTCTTTCTCAAGGCCTTTTTAAAAATAGAATCAAATTCTATTGTTAATTTATAATTGACCTTTAAAAACTAGAAACTCAATATATGTAGACACCTTTCCATGACAGTAAATGCCGACCTTTTATATAGGTCTATCATAATTGAAATTAGTGGACATTTAGGTTGCAATTTTCACCGTAAAATTAACTTTTAATCTACATTTTTAATAATATTTATTTATTTACTGGGGGGAAGGGGCAGAGGATGAAGGAGAAAGAAACTCAAGGAAACTCAATGAGTGTAAATTAGATGTTTGAAAATGTTTGAAAATCTAGGCTGACCAAATCAAATTCAGGGTTGTTTCCTAATGTCACTAAACAATTTAAACAGCAAGTTTCTCTTAAAATGCTCTTTCTTTCTTTCTTTCTTTCTTTCTTTCTTTCTTTCTTTCTTTCTTTCTTTTTAAGATTTATTTATTTACTTGAGAGAGAGAAAAAGCAGGTGCGTGGGAGAGGGGCAGGAGGAGAAAGAGGGGAAGCAGACTCCCTGCTGAGCAGGGAGCCCCAGGTAGGACTCGATCTCCTGATCCTGAGATCCTAACTTGCACCAAGACCAAGAGTTGGAGGCTTAACTGACTGAGCCACCTAGGTGCCCCACAAAATGCCCTTTCATAAAATATCAATTTCTCAGGAAGTTGGTGGTGATGCATAGGTGCAATGCCTCTGAAATCTGTCTAATGCTTCGTTTGAAGACTGGCTCACATCTGTTGTGTGGAGGGGGCTGGGGTGAGGGTAGGGGTGAGTACTGTTGGGAGTTCCCGCTCTGATCACAACTGTTACTGCGTCATCACCATGTCTGGCAGGGGAGGGGGCGGGGCACGAGGCAAAACTCCAGGTGCCCAGCAGTGGGCGGGCTGGAGGATTCTAGCCACCAGAGGCCCCCACCTACTAGGACTTGAAAAAGAGAACCTCCACCGGTTTCCCGCCAACAAAACAGAACATCAGCCAGCGCCGGTCCTCCTCGTGCAAGATCAGCCTGGCTCAGGCCGATGAATACACAGAGATCTGCTCCACCTTCAAACCTGACATTCCCCTTAGTTACCATCCTGTGATTTCCAAAAGTCTATTTTCTGTGTCTTTTCAGCTATAGCAACCTGCTCTCCTAAATAGCTTCTTTATCTGGTGGGGCAATTACAGTCTGTGACTAACAGCTGTGGTTCATAAACATGAGTTTCACTGTTTGGGTCAGTAGTTCTTAGCCTTTTCTGAATGGCAACTCCCCCAGCTGATCTTGGCATTAAGAGAAGCACCTTTCCTGAGCACTCGGGTTGGTACTCAATAGAGCAGTTTACTCTTGGAGGGTTCTGTTTTCCCATTATAAAGGAGGTGACGTTTTTATTAAGTTGCAAGTCCTGGCATCTAATACCAAACATATTTCTGGATGCTGACTTTATTAGTGATTTTAACTTTCTCCATTGAGCTTTTCTTTCTATTCCAAGTGGTCTACAATAGGTATGTCTTTTTAGACTTAGAAAAAAAAATGTTCTTTCAAAAAGTAAGTCTCAGGCTCGATGAAGAGTCTTAGACCTGACACCAAAAATCACAATCCATCAAAAAAAGGTATAAATTACACTTCAGAAGAATTCAAAGCTTTTGCTGTGTGAAAGACTATGTAAAGAGGATGAAAAGACAAGCCATGGGGTGGGAGAAAATACTATTTGCAAACCACACGCCTGACAAAGGATTTGTATCTAGAACATACAAAGAATGCTCAAAGGTCGAGAGTAAAAACAAAGAATTGAATTAGAAAATGGGCAACCTATAAGAGACATGTCATTGAAGAGGGCATACAGAGGGCAAAAAAGCTCGAGAAAAGGTCTTCAACATTACCAGCCATGAGGGGAATGCATTTGACCATGACCAGATACCACGATACACCTACCGAGAGAGCTAAAGTAAAAATAGTGACAATGCCAAATGCTCACAGGGAATCAGAGAAACCAGATCTCTCGTACATGGCTGGTGGGAACGTAAAATGGTACAGTGACTTTGGAGAACAGGTTGGCAATTTCTTAAAAAACTGAACATTGACTTTCCATATGACCCAGCAATTAATCCCTGGGCACATATCCCCCAGAAATGAAAGAACCCAAACAGCAGTATTCATAACAACTTTATTTGCCGTAGCCAAAATCTGCAAAACACCAAAACGTCCATCAATGACTATTTCATACCTTTTTGATGTTTTGTTTTAGAATGTGAGAATTTATTGCTTAATTTTTTATTTGGAATAAAACCCACTTAACATAAAACATCATTTTTACTTTCTTGAGCACACAATTCAGTGGTGTTTTTAGTTTATTCACAGTATTGTGCAACCATCAGCATTCTACGATTCCAAACATTTTCATCAGCCAAAAGGAAACCTCACACCCATCGGGTCATTTTCCCTCCCCTGCAATAACTAATCTCCTTTCCACACATTATATGATTCCACGTATATGAAGGGTGCCTATGTATGGAATCCTACAACAGGATACAAGAGTCCGTTGTGCCTGGCTTCTTTCACCCAGCATAATGTTTTCAAGGTTCATCCCTGAAGTAGCATGCATCAGAACTTCACTGCTTTTTGTGGTCGGATAATATTCCACTGCACAGATATATTTAAATTTAAATTTTTAAGATTTTATTTATCTATTTGACAGACAGAGATTACAAGTAGGCAGAGAGGCAAGCAGAGAGAGAGAGAGGAGGAAACAGGCTCCCTGCTGAGCAGAAAGCCCGATGCGGGGCTAAATCCCAGGACCCTGGGATCATATTCTGAACCGAAGGCAGAGGCTTAACCCACTGAGCCACCCAGGCACCCCTAATTTTAATTTTTGATACAATTTTTCTTTGTTCCCTTCCTGCAGGTCTATTTTACGTTGGTTAGTTTAGCGAACTGCCTCCAGCCTGGACTGCTTACCCGTGACCTCCCATTACTCAAACCCAGGCTGACATATGTGGGCTTCGTTCCCTCACTTCTCAGTGTCTCCTCCTGAAATCAAGACGCTTCCTCGGGTAGGTGATTAATTGGGACTCAGAGGATCTCTACAGGGTAGGGTCTCCTTGTGGCACATCAGAGGTGACTGGTGTCAGGGTGGAAGGGAGGGGAGACAGCCAGTCTGTCTACGGAGCCGAACCAATTTGTAGTCTCTTAGTCACTTGACTCACCTTTCTGGAACAAGGCGCACTAAATCTTTTCCCCAAAGCAAAACTTTTCTAAGCTGTTTTGGAAGCACACACATTTTGCCTGAGTGTCCTTACTCTCTGCATGGTGCTCCTGAGTCCAGAGCTGTCTGTCCCATGGTGTTGCAGTCACCAGCTTACCCACTACCAAGCACAGTTTCCTTCCATCACTGATGTCATAGCTGGGCTGAGCTGACTGTGCCCATGGTGCGTTGGTGTCTTAGTGAATGTGAAGCCCAGTTACTGAGCCTTTATGATGTATAAACCCCAGACTAAGCCCTTTGCATCTGACTTTGGGCTCACAGCAATTGCATCAGACCGAAGCTGTTCTTATTCCCCGTTAAGATTCAGAGGCAGAGGCTCAAAGAGTTTTAGGGTCCAGTCCAAGATCATATCACCACTGAGTGGCTTGGGGAGGTTGCAACACAGACCAGATCGATGGGTCATTCAAGTGCAATGAGAGCCTAGGCTCTGCAGCCAGACTTCCTGGCTTCCAATCCTGGCTCCCAATCCTGGCTCCTTGTCCATTACCTATTTGGATTTGCCTCCATTTCCCTACCTGTAAAATGGGATTAATAATAATACCTACCTCGTCGTGTTGTTGTAAAAATTAAATACATGAATCTGCTACGGCCTGAGAGCTCTGTGCCCGGCACACACTAAGGGCCATGTGAGTGATCACTGCTGTCATGGTTGTTTTTATTACGTTGAGTCTTAAAAATGGGACAGTGAGGCAAGAAAAAAAAAAAAAAATGACCCAAACAGACACCATTCCATGTTGCCTCATGAGATCTCTTCTGGCCAAGTGACACAGCACGCATTTCCTCTAAGCTGCTGCTCCCAACCCCAGGGGCTTTCAACCACCCACAAAGCCAAACTAACCATTTCCAAAGCCACATTCTTCAGGTCAGCGATAAGTCTCTGTAGTAACAGGAAAGGGGGCGAGGGGAGCATAACTCTTTCTTATAAGAGCCAGCCACGGATTTTCTTTGGAGAAGCATATTATGTGGTCACCTGGGACATTGCCTTTTGTCAATATTTAGGATCACCTAAATAGCTTAGGAGCACAGATGCTTTGTGTATCTCTATTTCCACAACACACCATGGACTATCAGTGCTACAGGAAATACAGCCAATAGTGCCTTTAACTCTAATCAGATTAGAGAACCAATTCCAGGAACTCCAGAGCCGGTTCAGAAAACTCATCTTTACCAAAGGGTGTCATGAGACACTACCTGCCTCACAGAGACTGGTTACAAAGGTTAAGAGACCTGCAGCTGAGGCTTTCTTCACTCCTCTAAATTGGTGATGGCTTCAGTCCAGGCCAAAATCAGCTTCAATTTGGAATCCCAATCAATAGCCCTGTGAAGGACTTTGCTTTGAGGGGCCCGAAGTTGGCTGAAGGAAGACAGGCCTCACCATCAGATGGGCTAAAGCAGGTGGGTCTCCCTGAGCTCAGGGAGTTACAAAGACTTTTTGGGCAGAGCAATAAGAATGTTACTGCTGGCATAGGACCATATGTCAGGTTTATAGCTCTGAGTCCCCAACACAAACTCCAGGCTCTCATGACCTTCAGGAAAGACAAGGTTTATAGTTGATCTAATTTAGAAGGGAGAGGCTCTTTCCAGAATCCCTGAGTATAAGGAATGCCTGATTGAGGGGAGGGGGTAAGGGAGGTAGGAACATACCCTTAAGACTGGTGTCTAAGATAAGTGCCCTTAGGGGCGCCTGGATGGCTCAGTGGGTTAAAGCCTCTGCATTTGGCTCAGGTCATGATCCCAGGGTCCTGGGATCGAGCCCCACATCGGGCTCTCTGCTCAGCAGGGAGCCGGCTTCCCTTCCTTTCTCTGCCTGCCTCTCTGCCTACTTGTGATCTCTGTCAAATAAATAAATAAAATCTTTAAAAAAAAAAAAAGCTGAGTGCCCTCAGAATTCCCTGGAGGGGAGGGGACATCTCTATAAAGAATCATAAATCTTGGGGCGCCTGGGTGGCTCAGTGGGTTAAGCCGCTGCCTTCAGCTCAGGTCATGATCTCAGGGTCGTGGGATCGAGTCCCGCATCGGGCTCTCTGCTCAGCAAGAAGCCTGCTTCCCTCTCTCTCTCTCTCTGCCTGACTCTCCGTCTACTTGTGATCTCTGTCTGTCAAATAAATAAATAAAATCTTTAAAAATAATAATTAAAAAAAAAGAATCATAAATCTTTAAGATTTTAGAAACTTATCTTGATGTGGCTTTATCAACATTCCTATTACATGTGTTAGTAGAAGGAACTTACCTCCATGGCACCATCACCTAACTGAACTCTTTTATTTTATGATAAAGAAGCTGAAGCCGAGTCAGACAGCACTTTAGTAATGAAGGCCCAGAACACAAGATGGCAGCCCTCAGTCTAGTTTTCCACACTCAGAGCCACGCTGCTAAAAGACAGTTCTAAAAATGTCCTTCTACACAGATCATTCCTCCTCTCTCACAAGGCTGGTGGGTCTCTCCCAGCAGATAGTTCTTCTTTTTTTTTTTTTTTTAAGATTTTATTTATTTATTTGATAGAGATCACAAGTAGGCAGAGAAGCAGGCAGAGAGAAGGGGGGGAAGCCGGCCCCCTGCTGAGCAGAGAGCCCAATGCAGGGCTCGATACCAGGATCCTGGGATCATGACCTGAGCTGAAGGCAGAGGCTTTAACCCACTGAGCCACCCAGGCGCCCGCCCAGCAGATAGTCTTATCCATAAACTATTCAGAGTCCTCTGAAGCCTGTCTCAACAAGAACTAGAGCTTCTGCCGAGGTGGGGAGGGAGGATTCAAGGTTGGATTGAGAACAGAAGTGATTAAAAGGCTCAACAGAACAATCCTGCTGATTCAGAATGACTAGAGAGTAGTCTTCCTGATTACCTACTGTTTCTGCTCATGCTTACAAATGAATGAATATATGGAGAATTGAAATATAATACGAGCAGTGCTACTCAGTTCAATCGAGTCTTTCTTCCCCTAGTGTGTCGAGGTCATTATGATGAGTATGGGTTACCGTTCTGGAGAATTCAAACAATGGCGAACAGGGTTGACAATCTTCCCTTTAGCGAATTTTTGGTAATTTACTGACCCTGTTGTAGAAGGTTAGGGTGTCTAAGCTCGCTCTTTTCTTTTTTAAAAAGTGAATCCCTTCATATCTGTCTGCTTATCTTTCTACCTTTTTTTTTTAAGATTTTATTTATTTATTTGACAGACAGAGATCACAAGTAGGCAGAGAGGCAGGCGGAGAGAGGGGGAAGCAGGCTCTTTGCTGAGCAGAAAGCCTGACGCAGGGCTCCATTCCAGGACCCTGAGATCATGACCTGAGCTGAAGGCAGAGGCTTAACCCACTGAGCCACCCAGGCGCCCCTGTCTGCTTATCTTTCCCTTAGCCTTTTCTTCATAATAATATCATAAGGAATGTACACACACACATCTAGTTATCTGAGACTTCGGTTGATTGGTCCCTAGTTAGCCAGTTAATAGGACCATCACACAGAGGATTATGTCTTAAACATCTCCCCTGAATTCTCTGTTAACAAGACAGGAGACAGGCCATGGGTCACTTGATCCTTTTTACTTCATTTAGGAACATGAATCTTGAGGCCAAGAGGCAGAAACCAGCCCACTGACACAATTGGCAACTAGACACAAAACAATTCAGTGATGGGTTCAAGAAAAATGAGGTCAAGTTTAAAAAATAATTTTAAAAAAATTCAGTGATCAGGGGCGCCTGGGTGGCTCAGCAGGTTAAAGCCTCTGCCTTCAGCTCAAGTCATGATCCCAGGGTCCTGGGATTGAGCCCGGCATCAGGGTCTTTTCTCATCAGGGAGCCTGCTGCCCCACCCCCTCTCTCTGCTTGCCTCCCTGCCTACTTGTGATCTCTCTGTCAAATAAATAAATAAAATCTTTAAAAAAAAAATTCAATGACCAGTTCAGGTACACCTTAACTCGTTATGTATTTTTGAGCAGGCAATGAATGAAACACAAGAGTACGCAGAGAAATATGTTTCGTAAACTAAGTTAATAGAAGCTTTTAGTGACACCTTTCTAAAAATTTATTGCTTCTCAGCTTAAGCTAAATGTTTTAATGTTTTATAAAATAATTTTTTTAAGTCACAGATCAAGATTTATCTACATTCAGGTAGATTCTGGGGGCTCATGTCCAAAAGACTTGGTTCTCCTGAGGGTAGTATCCTTTGCTTTTCTTTGAGTATCTTATTAACACTTCTACTTCTCAGGAATTATGCCAAGTATCAAGGCTACAGAGGAAGAAGACCCAGCCCCTGTCATGAGAACTGACATGAGAGACTAAACGCTCAAACATTTTCTCACTGTCACCGTCATTTTCTTTCTTAAAATGCCATCAATCTGAGCTTCATAGACAATGCTCCTTACATGTCCTGTGGTTTCTCCACAGGATTCCTACACACTTGCTACTTAGTTCTCTTTAAGATGTACACATAGTTCAAATTGAACAACTTCTCAGAAATGCTGCTGTGCATTTTTTTCCTGTCTTTACCTCGTCACACACCCTCCTGCCTCCAGCCTGGTTCTTTCTTTGGCTCTTGATCTGAAATAACAAGGCACTAAACTGAGATGAGAAGGGCCTGCTTGTCTCAGGTGCCCCACATGGTGCTCACTGATAAGGGTTTTGTTATATCTTTCTTTCCCAAGTTTGTCCTAGCCTATTTATCCCTAGATTGTTTTCTTTCATATTAATTAACCATTATTATTGTCCACTGAAGCATTATTTGTAATAGCTAAAAAAAAAAAAAAAAAAAACAGAAGTAATCTCTATCTTCATCTGTAGGAAGGGAGTTAACTAT